TTTGGTTCCATACGAGCGTAAAATTATTTGTTTCTTATCTGTGAAGAATGCTGATCGGGATTTTGAATAGGTATTGCATTGGAATCTGTAGATCAAAGTCTTGTGGTAAGTATAGACTGTTTTGATGATATGTTTGAGTCTGCGATCCGACGAGCACCGTCGGGTATATTTTGTTGTTGTCCATCTGTTTACATCCTCCTGCTATGTCTTGCCTCGTGTTTGCATAGTTCTCCTACGTAGGAGGTCTTTTACCCTCTTTGTTAATATAATTCCTCTAGGTTTAAATTCTTGTGTGCTATTGTTGAGGAATTATTCTTCGATTGTGTTCTCAATTAGAATTGTGGGCGTATATGACTGCCTCTGATGTGTCTGTGTTTTTTTGGTATCCTGAGCCTTTGACTAAATCATTGATCCAGTTCCAGGAGTTTCTGTTGAATCCTTTGGTTTTCTAATACAATATCATATCACATCAGCAGTGAAAGTTTGATCTCTTCCTGCCCCTATTTGGATCCGTTTGATTCCATTCCTTGTCTGATTGCTGTAGCCAAGACCGTTCCAGCACATGTTGAACAGAAGTGGAGATAGTGGACAGCCTTGTCTGGTTCCAGTTCTAGTGGGATATGTTGTCAATTTCCCATTCAGTGATGATTGCTATGGGTCTGTCATTATGGTTGTATCATTTTTAGGTATGGTCCCATTCTATGCACTATTTTCTTAAGGTTCGTTCATCTGAAAGGGTGTTGAATGTTTGTAAACAGCTTTTTCTGCATCTATTGAAGCCAAGTCCATGTGCGTCTTTGTTTTTGCTTTCTGTTTATGTGGTGAATTGCATTCTATATGATTTACGTATGTTGAACCATCCCTGCATCCCTGGATCAAAACAGAACTATTTGACCTATTAAATAGTCCCCGGGGTAGTCATTCCTCTGCTCAAAACCTCCTCTGGTTTCTAATGCTCTCTATCATCTGGACTCTGCTACTTCTTTCATTCTCTGTTGCTGCTAGACCAGTTCTGGCTGTTCCCCTCCTCTCCAAACTGCCTCTTGCCTCAGGACTAGACACATAGTGTTCTTTTGCCTGAGACACTTTCTCTTGATACTATGCAGAGGTTATTTCTCATGCTTCTTTAGTCTCTGCCCACGTGTTACCTTATTGAGAGGCTTCCCCTGATCATCCTGCTTAAATTCCATATACACTGGCTCCTCCCTGGCCTCTTGGTAATCCCTCTCCCCTTTCCTGCCTTATTTGCTTCAGAGCATTTACTTTAAGAACAAGTACTATCTGAAGTGCCATCTAGTTTGCTTTGTTTATTGTCCTCATCTCCCAACAGAGAGCAGGAACTTTTTGTTCATTTTGTCCCAGTTCCTGGAATGCATGCACCCACATATTTGGTGAATGATCAATGCATCTTATCCATTCTTGGCTCGATGCAATTACTTCCCATACTTTAGTGTGGTAGTCTTTATGGAGCTCCAGCATTGTGATGTCCAACCCCCCGCCCCATTTAAAGTCCTCCCATAGCTCTTTATTCATTATAAAAAGTAGAAAGGGTTAATGTGGCATAATGGTCAGTACTTTTTTGTTTGTAAGTGACAGGATCTCAACTCAACCTAACTTTGGCTGAAAAAAGGAATTTATCAGCTCAAATAATGAAAGGCCCAGGGGTTGAGCAGACTTTAGACATAGCTGGATGCAGGTGTTCAGATATAACAGTGTCTTCCTCTTTCCTCTCTCTCCATCCATAGCTCTGCTCCCTCCGCTTGAGAATTAAGAGTGGTATCTTCCATCCTGGTACACATTCCTGCCCAAGCTAGATATTTTGACACAAAAGACATTTACTGTTGAACGAATGAATATTTAAACCTTCGTTTTCCATTGCCAGATTTAACCACGTATGATACAGTGAAACACTACTTGGTATTGAATACACCACTTGAGGACAATATCATGACTCATGGTTTATCAAGGTAAGTGATTGTTTTAGTTTGACTTTTTCTGTTTTTTTTTTTTTTTTCTATATTACCTTCTCTTCCATATTTGGTGTAAATTCTAACATTTAGGTTCTTTTAATTAGGAATCTAGTGGTATCACCCTTAGGGAAGGGTTATAGTACATTTATGAAGGGTGATTTTCTTAAAGTTTGTTACAGTTAAAATGGATATGAGACACAAGAAGTTGCAGGATATATGAGAATAAACCTCCCAAAATATTTGCACCTTGATGGGGCCATCCCAGGAACAGGTTCTGATGATTGACTCTCCAATTCAACAGATATGCTTGAGCACCTTTAATGTTAAAGGCACTGTGCAGTGCCCTGCAGTGGGTACAAAATAGGTACTCAACTCCTGCCCACGGAGCTTTCTAAGTATTAAAACACTGTGCAGTAAATGCTAAAAGAAAGCAGCTAGTTACTGTAGGGTTCAGAGGAGGGAAAAAAAAATAACCACTTGGCAGGACCCACAAAAGGAGTAGAATTAGATAAGAGTTTTGAAGAGCTGTGGCTCTTCACAGAGACAAGAAGAAGGGCATTCCAGGAAGGGACAATACCTTAATATCTTTGTAACACAATTTAAAATTATCCGTTAGATGAGTAATGTTATAAATGTCTGTTATCCTTGACGTTATAGTGATTTCATTTAGCTTCTGATCTTGTTTTTAAATTCTAGAACCCACTTGTGCTGTTTAGACAATCTCAAAAGTATGTTAATAATGTCAAATCAGTGATATTTGGAGATGTTTAAGCACCCCAAGAATATTCCTGACTCAGGGCTTTTGCACGTGCTATTCCATCTGCTTCTAATACCCTTCCTTCGGGTCGTCACATAGACATATTCTTTTCACCACTCAATTCTGCTGTCAACCCAAGAGCCTTTCCCTGACTGCCTATTACCCAGTTACTCACTATCACGTTCCCCATTTGATTCATAGCCGTTATCAGCATCTGAAATTATTTACTTCTCCTCCGCCTCTCTCCAAGTAGAGTGTAAGCTCCTCTAGGGCAAGATCTTACCTCTCTTGTTCACTCCCTGAAAGAATGCCTGGCACCAGCAGGTGCTCAATGCATGTTTTTTGACTGACATTCTTTTTGTTTTTATTTTCTTCTACCTCTTTAAGGAATTAATTTAGCATTAATTTTAAGCTAAAAGAGCATTTTTATGAAGAATATAAAGAATATTATAATAATATATTTGGTATTCTATTCTTTCTAAATATCAAATTCTCTTTTTTTTTTTTTTTGAGACAGAGTATCGCTTTGTTGCCCAGGCTAGAGTGAGTGCCGTGGTGTCAGCCTCGCTCACAGCAACCTCAGACTCCTGGGCTCAAGGGATCCTCCTGCCTCAGCCTCCCGAGTAGCTGGGACTACAGGCATGCGCCACCATGCCCGGCTAATTTTTTCTATATAT